ATTACCATGGTCAGAAGATAAAATGAGAGAACATTTTTTTTTTTTTTTTTTTTTTTCGGTACGCGGGCCTCTCACTGTTGTGGCCTCTCCCATTGCGGAGCACAGGCTCCGGATGCGCAGGCTCAGTGGCCATGGCTCATGGGCCCAGCCGCTCCGCGGCATGTGGGATCTTCCCAGACCGGGGCACAAACCCATGTCCCCTGCATTGGCAGGCGGACTCCCAACCACTGTGCCACCAGGGAAGCCCAATGAGAGAACATATTAAACAGCTTAGCTCAGTGCCTGGCATTTACCAGAAACTTAATAAATAATGGCTAATTATTTTAATAAAGGGTTAGGAAATAGAAACAGATAATCAAATGGGCTTGTCAGTCCCTTCGTTTAGCTCAGTGGACCCATTAGTCAAGAGATCTGAGTAGCAATCCCAAATCTGCCATTAGCTAATGTCTTGCATGACCTTGATCAAACCTTTAAATTCCTTGAGCCTCAGTTTTTCCATTTGTGAAATGAGAAACTTGAACTATATGGCTTGTTCATCTCTACTGTTGTTTTACCTCCAAACTGTAGGGACAAAACAAAACATTTTTTAAAATTCCTTTCTTTATCCCAATATATATCAGGCAATTACTTTTCTTATATAGAGCTTAGATGGAAGGAAGTCTTTTCTCTAAATTTGTGATCCTTCCTATGCAGGAAGTTTGAATACCTGTCTCCAGTTGACTCTCCTTAACTGCAAATCAAGCTCAGATCTTTATTTTTAATTCCTAACTTTGAAGTTTTTGATGAATTAGCACACATCTGACTATTTTGATGCGTAAATGGTAAGTCAGGGGAACTATCAAATAGTTGGGGGGCGGTTATCTTACAGGACTGCTGAGCTCTCACCCTGACCCCCTTTCTTTATTTCTCTGATAGGATCTGGAAATGGGTAAGGAATAACTCAGAAGTCTCTATTGTATTAATCTCACTGCTACGGATGTGCTCACGTAAGAGGGATCTCAGATGATTCTCCCCTCTCTTAATTGCTCTAATTTTGGTGTGCATATTTAAATCTCAGCTGTGTCCTATGATCCAGCATTCTCCGAAGTGTGTTTCATGGGACACTCGTATCTTGAGGTGCTCCATGAGAAGAAAGTTCTTTCGATTTAAAATGTGTGGAAGGGACTTACCTGGTGGCACAGTGGTTAAGAATCCGCCTGCCAATGCAGGGGACACGGGTTCGATCCCTGGTCCAGGAAGATCCCACATGCTGCAGAGCAACTAAGCCTGTGTGCCACAACTACTGAGCCTCCACTTTAGAGACTGCGTGCCACAACTACCAAGCCCATGTGCCACAACTACCGAAGCCCTCATGCCTAGAGCCCATGCTCTGCAACAAAGAGAAGCCACCACAATGAGAAGCCCGCGCACCGCAACGAAGAGCAGCCCCTGCTTACCGCAACTAGAGAAAGCCCGTGTGCAGAAACGAAGACCCAACGCAGCCAAGAATAAATAAAATAAAATAAATGATTTTATAAATAAAATAAAATAAAATGCTGTAGGGCTTCCCTGGTGGCGCAGTGGTTGAGAGTCCGCCTGCCGATGCAGGGGACACGGGTTCGTGCCCCAGTCCGGGAGGATCCCACATGCCGCGGAGCGGCTGGGCCCGTGAGCCATGGCAGCTGAGCCTGCGCGTCCGGAGCCTGTGTTCCACAACGGGAGAGGCCACAACAGTGAGAGGCCCGCGTACCGCAAAATAAGTAAGTAAGTAAGTAAGTAAATAAATAAATAAATAAAATGCTGTACACTATATTGCCCTTCTTGGGGGAATCTCAGTGCACATAAGCATATTAAAGGCTCTGAGAACTCTACAGGGAAGGAAAAAATGGCTAAACTCAGCATCTCCCAGACTTACTCAAATTCAGAACTTTTTTTTTTAATACTAGAGAAACTGTAATCTCTCTCATAATCGTGTTACACAGAACCCCGACTGGAAAATATTTTCATAGACTATGAATGGGTTCTGGATTATTGATTCTGCTCTATTACTTGTGAACCAATCAAAGAAGTAGAAAAATCAGGTTACTGGAATATTTGTCTTGAAAAGCAACTGGAGTTAGAATTTATGTATTGAAGTGATAGCTTTATGCTGAGATGTGCATTTGAGTACCAAGCCTGGTTTAACTTCTAGGTGCCCTCTGTTAACTCACAGAGTATTGATGGATCTTTCTTGCATTCACTGCAAGACTTTGTGAGTCTCAGAATTTCACTTAAATATTTTGTTGCAGAATGTGTAACTAGCTATGGATCTGAATGAAAAATAACACCGGGTGAGTCCATAAATAAATAATTAAAATTGTATGTGAATAACCCCAGGGTGAATACCACCATGGCCATATAATGTAAAGAGTTTCAATAGAACTCCAACGAAATACATCTGTGTCTGGCTCCAAAAACTGCTTTCTGAAGATTGGAGAGGTAGATTTATTAGAGTCTACACATTTCTGATTATGCATGCATATGTTGTTGTGAAGTTTCAGGAACATTAGAGTCCTGTGTATTCTTTTCTGCTGCTTAGAGAGAAATTTGTTTCAGAATTAGGTATGACCACTCAGCTTCAGCCTACTCTTATATGAACTGTTATCTTATTTACTGACAAATAGGGACATAATCCCCCTTTAGATATTCCAGCTCAACTAGTAACTGTAAATGTTCTTTTTATTTTCTAATCTGGCAAAGCTAAAGGGAAAGAGCTGTACTAAAGTGGTTTTGTTGATGCCTGAAGTGATGCAAAACTAAGATGAAGGTAGCAAATACAGAAAAAATAAATTAAAAATGATTTCTTTAGAATAGGTTTATGGGCTCATGTAGTTTAGTGGAGTGAGACCAAGAACCAAAAATAATCAGAGAGCCTCCTGCCTAAAAACAAACACATATAGTCAGGAACATTAGGGCATTGCTAGTTATTACATTGAAAGGATCTTCATTCAGCAATAGCAAAAATAAAGAAAAAGGGAAAGGGGCTGGATCTTTGTGGGTAGTTAGCTAGCATTACACAGAAGTGGAAATGGCACATTCTGGATCACAGTTGTACAATGGAGTGAGGTCCTCTGTAATTTCTTTCTCCTTTTCCATGTTAGATGAACAAATATAATTAGAGGAGACAATAGGTTCTGATAAATCTTTAGTCCTGGGCAAAATGTTTGAATTCCTTAGTCTTCAGTTGACCATATTTAATACAAAATGAGAGTGCATTTGGGATTCCAAAGGGAGCAGTGACTTAAGGATGATAAAAAACGGTGCTTGATCCTGTATCCACTTGTTTATGGCTTGGGGCAATATTACCTACCTTCATCTGGACTCACTGATATTGCCTCCCTAGTTCATGAGTGTAGTGTGTGTGTAAAACAGATCTAAGAGGAGCTTCTTTGTTGGAAGCGGGTAATGGGCAGTGGTGGTGCTGATAAATTATTAACAACTGGCTCTCAGGGGGAAAAAAATCTTGATATGCAGCACTAGAGGATTTGGAGATTTCCACAGGGCAAATGCTCCCACCATGACCAATTTCAGTTTATCAACCTGACATCAGCAGGCTCACAAAATCCTGAAAATGTAACACGCAGTTCTGATGAGCCAGTGGGAGCCGGCTCCAGCACACCCCTGCTAGATTTCTTAACCCCAGGCCATTTTGTAGGGCTGTTTCTGCAGATACCAGTAAGGCCCTTGCAGGCTCTGGAGAATGCCTTTTGAAAACAACTGGCCTTTATGACCTTTAAGATCCCTTTCAGAGCCCAGATTCTAGAATCCTTTCTCAAGAAAAGTTTATAAGGTGGAATACATTGTAACTGTGTGAGATGAAGTGTTTTAAAATATCAGTTTATACTGATACTATTCTTTCTAATACTTCCTAGAGAGCTGGTGATTTAACTCGGATACTTTTAGAGAATATGTGTAAAATATTAAAAAGTGGTTTTAGGGAAGGCAAGTGATTCTGACTGGTACCTGCGGATACTTCTGGTCTTTGAGCACGGAGCCATTGCCAGATGAGATCTTTGAACATGACAAAATGTTGCGTGTCATGTAGGACGGAGGCTAGCAAATGTCACTCCATCAACCGAATCTCGCCTGCCGCCTGTTTCTGTGTGGCTCATGAGCTAAGGATTGTTTTTACATTTTTGAATGGTTAAAAAAAATAAAAGGGGTAATAATAATTTGTGACACATGAAAATGATAGTTTCAGTGACTATAAATAAAGTTCTGTTGGAACACAGCCTTGCCCTTTCATTCATATCATCTATAATGTCACATCATCTCTGACTGCTTTCATGCTATACCAGCAGAGTTGAGTAGTTGCAAAAGAGAATGCGGGGCCTGCGGAGCCTGAAATATTTACTATCTGGCCCTTTGTTCAAAACGTTTGCCAACCCCTGATCTAGGGAATAAGTCTCTGAGGAAATATGACCAGGTGGTACAAGGTTCTGTATGGTGACTGAAGACATAGCAATAGGAAAGCCAAATTCATCCATAATGAGATTGAGAGGAGTTGCACAATGAAATGGAGAGAGCCACAAACGTCCCAAAATATGAAAAACATTAAGGAGAAATAAGGAATTTCTCACTCTGCCCAAATCATCTCCTTTTAGGTTTTTTTGTAACCTAAGACAAAGAAACTTTTCTTCTCATGCTGTCATGTTGATGTGTGCTGAGTTAGATGGTCTCCTGCTGCACAGGGACCCTGATGCTTCTACTCAGTAAAGGAGTGTCATTGGTGGTTCCAAGGGCTGGCTTTGGAAGGCAGCTATGCTCACCACTGTACCACCTACAGCACTTACAAGGCCTGGCTTTGGAGTCAGACAGATGGGGGTCATGTCCTAGCTCAGCCCCTTATTTGATGTATGATCGTGGACACATTTCTTTTAACAGTTCTCAACTTCCATTTTCTCACCTACAAAATATCAGATTATTCTGACTATCAAGTAAAATATTTAAATTGCTTAGCACGGAATCTGACACATAGTAAGTGTGTAATAAATGTTACTTTTTGCTTGTACACTGTTGTTATTGGTATTATGTTATTGGTGTTATTATGTTTGTATACCTCAGGGCCTCCCATACATGTACATATTTATGTTTTGGGTTAAGCTTTTATTCTTCTGGTAGACAGAAATAAATATTTAATTTGGCAGTATCTTGACATTAACACAAATTCTTTTCACACCAAACACTCCATCTTCTGGATATTGTCTCAAAATGAAACTCATGCAATTGTTACAGTCTCAGTCAATATTTAAAACTTTGGTTTGGTGAGAAGGTGAAGTGCCACATTCATTTCTTCCCAAGAGGAGACTGCCCTCCAGTGGAAACAACTCTGGTAAGGGGAGAAAATCATTTTGGTAGTTAGGACTATGCAACAACTGTTCTGTAAAATTATTTTCTGTTACAATATATATGTTTATGAAATTTAAGCATATCTGCAGGGGAGAAAACGCTCCCACTGTCCTAGTACCTCCACAGTCTACTGTAATGATGGCATTCACCAATTATACATTCATTCCTTTGACATTCATCTTCCTTCCCCCCACGTGGTACAGGCATTTCTTTAATCAAGTAATTCTTTTTAATTTATTTGTTTATTTAATTTATTTATTTTTGGCTGCGTTGGGTCTTCCTTGCTGCGTGGGTGCTTTCTCTAGTTGCGGCAAGTGGGGGCTACTCTTCGTTGCAGTGCGTGGGCTTCTCATTGTGTTGGCTTCTCTCGTTGAGGAGCACGGGATCTAGGCACGCAGGCTTCCGTAGCTGTGGCTTGTGGGCTCTAGAGCGCAGGCTCAGTAGTTGTGGCGCCCGGGCTTCGTTGCTCCGCGGCATGTGGGAACTTCCCGGACAAGGGCTTGAACCCTTGTCCCCTGCATTGGCAGGTGGATTCTTAACCACTGTGGCACCAGGGAAGCCCAATCAAGTAATTCGTAACCTAGGTTTCACAATAGAAAACTAAGGTGCTTTAAAACATCCCGATGCCTAGGTTGCACCTCAGTTCAATTAAATCAGCATCTCTGGGGGTGTAGGATCTAGGCATCAGTATTTTATTTTTAAAGTCCCCTGCACACACTGCACACAAAGTTTAGCCTGCAGCCAAGATTAATAATCACTGCTTCAAACCTTTTGGTTTTTAAACAAACTTGTTTTTGAACAAAGTAAAGCAAAAATACTGCTCTCATGTTAGTATGGTGTCTGCTGTTCTTAAGCATGCATAAGTGTGCTTGTATTGCAGTCTCATCTCCAGGGAAATTTACTGGTACAATCTTGTTTCATTAGCTTGTTAATAAAGAAGGATCTTATAGGTAGTAAAAGGGGGTGATAAGAAATGAATCTTTGCTACTTCTCCAACTGTAAATCCCACCGATAGGTTCTGTTTGGGACCAGTAATTATTTAGACTTTGATAACCTCATGGCTAAAGTGTACAGAGGCATTTGGGCTCACCTGTCAAAAATGCATTGACATAGCATGAATTTATAAAAGAATATTTTCTATGTATTCACTGATAGTCATGTGTTTTTCTTTAGCCTGGTGATTATACATGCTGCTAAATTTTCTTCTCATTAACATACGGTTTCATGTGTTTAGTTCATTATAGATATTTTATTGATCTAATCTTTTACTTAAATAAGAATTGCTATAGTTGTTTCTGAGTTTGAGGCTATTGAAGGAAGGTTAATTAATTTTGTTATCTGTGAAATAAAAATAATGATATTACCTACCTCCTCGGGTTGTTAAGAAAAGGGAAGAGATAATGTGTGTGAAACCTCCTAGTGGCTGGCACAAGTAGGCATAGCAACGTTGTTATGATATTTAGGCAAAGTATAATAGAGGTCAAGAACAAAGGTACTGGTGTTAGTCTCCCTGGGTTTAAATCTCATCTAGACTACCTGTCAGTTCTGTGTTGTTAGGCAAATTAGTTACCCTCGTTAAGTCTTCATTTCCTTTCCTGGAAACTTTTAGGCAACTTTGCTTTTGGGGGGGCGGTAAGGTAGCTGAAAATTAAGTCAGTTAAGTGAAATCATAAATTAATGTGCTAATCACTATTCCTGGCATTTGGTAAACACCTTTTCGTATACATGACATAGGAAGAAAGTGTATGTGTGTGTGTGTGTGTGTGTGCGTGCACGTGTGCATGAGAGAGAGAGAGAGAGGTTATATATTCAGTCAGAGCTGGAAGCGACCTTACCTTGCTCCTTGAGGTCCCTGAACCAGCAATATCAGCATCACCCGGGATTCTGTTAGAAATGTGTAATTTCACCACCCCAGACCCACTGAATCAGAGTCTGCATTTTAAAAAGATTCCTGGTGATTTGTGTTCACACCTGAGCAGTGCTATTCTAGTCAACCGATGGCAAACACAGGGCAAAATTGCCACCACTCCCTTGTAGAGCACCCTTGGCAGGCATCAGTCATCAAGCATGGCACTCCATCCCTCAGCATCCTGCCTAACTACTCCAGACAGCCTCAGCTAGTTGATAGGAATTGTCATGCGAGATGCGACCTATAGGAGAAGAAACTTATTGCATGGAAAAAGCGACTTGCCTGAGCTAGAAAGGCAGCGAGTTGTCCAAACAATACTCAAATTCAGGGTGTGTAACCCTCAAACTGGTAAATCTGTAGATTACACTGCCTCCATGGCGCCATTCAGCAACTCATAGCTACAGTATAGCTGGCTTTCTGCAACAACTGGTACGTCAAAACCAGAAGGACAAAATAGGATTCCGTGACACCATGGAAGCTGAAAAGAAATTGCTTAAAATCAGATTAACAGTGCTACTGTGTTTAAAACCCGAAGCCTAATGGTAATCCCTGTGGTGATAATCTAGGCATTGTGAATTAAAAATATCTGTGATGACCGGTTAATTCCACTGATTTCCAAAATTCATTTCTTTTTAAACTTTTTTTCACTTAAGCATTTTCTTTTTAACAAAGGCTTTAGTACTTGAAGGTGGAGTCACTGAAGTGACCAGCGAATCCATTAGACACAATTTTGCAAAACTAACATTGAACAGGGCACTGAATGAGGACATTTGTATACTGCCTTTGCCTCTTACAATTGTTTTTGCTTGAAATTTTAAATCTTAGGCTGGAATGAGCCTTGAGATAGCATACGATCCAGCTTCTGTCTCCTGGGAAGGAGGGAAGAATTTTGTTCATCACCAGCGACAAATATGTTCTGCCTAGAGCAGAAATGGAAGCACCATCCTAATACCTCTGAAATTTATCTTAAGCATCACGTCTGCTGTTGCACTGAGGCTGCTAAATATTTTCTGACTCATTACTCAAATGACTCATGCTCCATTTAGTGTGGTGGGAATACATGGAGAAGCAGCCAGATCCAACCGAGTGAGTAAGCAACTGGCCAGAGTTCCTTGCATTTTGTTACCTGGGCCGTTAATTTGCTAGAAATCTCAAGATGTTAATGTTCCTCTGAAGCGTCTGGCTGACGTGAAGAGGCTTCTTCTTCTACTCTGGAGAGTATACCAAAATTTCTCCTTCTCAAAATGAAACAAGGGATTCCCAATTTTCACATTTCAGGTTTATCCCAAGCTGTAATAATAGTTTAGGCAATGTAGGACAGACTCTATCAATTAAAAACTACATATTAATATATCTGTATATATACGTATATATAATGCTATACATTTATATATATGTCTATATATATGTATTTGCATATATATGTATGCAGTGTATTTTTGTGTGTACATATGTATAGGTGTATATGTATGTATGTGTGTGTGTATATCTGTGTGTATATGTATATATGTGTGTTGTTTTACTTTAATCAAAACTATAGTCATTTGTTTCAAAATTTCCAGGAAACAGTTCTTTCCCCAGTGCATTAACTTAGTCAATATACACATCATTTTTATGATTTGGAAGTTTTCCATATACAAGCATATTTGACTCTCTGCCACAAGAGATGGGTGAAAGGATAATTGCAGATGCATGAAAACCAGAACAAAGGATCTATGACAGTGTCTCTTGAAATAACATTAAAGGTCAGATCATAAAATTACTTTCCTTTTTTGAGTATTTTATTTCTTTGCTTGGAATTAATTTCATATCCAAAGGCATGGTATATGAAAGAAGACATCTAGGAAATGTTTTCTAGGAATTAGCTCTCTTCAATAGTCAAAAAGGAAATTTGGAAACATGTCTGTATAAATAAATATAGTCACATTTATATAAATTCTTTGTGACTCTCTTCAGTGGTGATGCAGTATGACTCCCTCATTAAAATTTTCATTTATTTTAGAATACTAACATAAGGATCAATGAAACCCATTTTCTCCTTGGAGTCAACTACTTTGTTTGTGGTTTGTGTGTGTGTGTGTGTGCTTTATTGAAGTATAGTTGATTTACAATGTTGTATTAGTTTCAGGTGTACAGAGAAGTGATTCATATAAATATATTCTTTTTCAGATTCTTTTTCATTACAGGTTATTACAAGACATTGAATGTAGTTCCCTGTGCTATACAGTAGGTCCTTGTTTATTTTGTATATAGTTCAACTACTTTGTTTTGTATTAACTTTTCAACTAATTTTCTTTTAAACTATTCTTAATATGTATGCCACATGAAAAGAATGTGTTCTGCATAAGGTAGAAATTAAGCTGGCTAATTTCCAGCAAATGAAATTATGCAGGTAATTTATAAGAATAGGATCTTTTTTTTCCCATTTTAAACTATAGGCTGAATAAGAAAGGGCAGATAATGTAAATATTTATAAACTAGATACGTAAATGGATTGCAATTCTCTATCCCTATCTATGTATTTAAGTGTCCATTCTCTGTGTTCAGAAATGGATTTTGGAAGATATGTTGGTTTTCTTTCGTCATCTTCCTCCCCTTCATACATGATGTTGGGCTGGAGCCATACAAAGTGATTTAAACACACTTAGTCTCAAGCCTTTAGGAACTTAAAGTGATCTCTTTAGCCTTTCAAAGAGCTTGCTATGAAATTGGAGTCACCTGGAGTTATTGAAGCAATTGAATTATTGTTAACTAATATTAGAAAAGGGAAAGCAGAAGACTGAAGTCTGTTTTCATAGCAGCTAATGAGGCATCTAATGATTCAAATGTCACTCTAAAGCTCGCCTCATTAAGACCGCATCTTCTTTTCATAAATGTCCTGGGGTAGCCGAACAAGTATATATATTCATTTACTTGAAATAAGTAACAGAGCTTTCCAACCAAATTTAAATATGAAAGGAAGCTTCTTAGCATTGATATCTTCTAAATGTGTAAACACATTTCTTAAGAACAGCATCAGAGAGGTGGACTCTGTATCTTTATTCTTACAAAATTCAATTTTTGGATTATTTGAAAGTGGAGTCTGCCATCAAATTAAATGCACCATTGACTACATGTTTATTAAGAGATTTATTACCAGCTGCCTTATTTAGTGTACTTTTATTAAAATACTACTGCAACTTCCATCTGAACACTCCTAATTTAGATATTTAATGGGAGGTCATAAGGCACCGAATTGTCCCTGTTATTTTTGGCCTACTAGATAGCATGGGGCACCTAACTTTAGGGGAATAAATTAAAGGGAGGGAATCTAGGTAGCTTCTGGACATTTGGGAAGCCTATGCACTTGATTTTTCAAATTGCTGCTGAAATGCAGCTCCAAAATTAGATATATGAAAGCTTGCTTCCTGAACTGGCTCAGTGTTCATTTAAAAGAGCCAGAAGAACCATGAAGTTCTAGGCCCTGTGCTTGTGATAGGGTAAATGCCCAATAAATATCTGTTGAATAAGTGAATGAATCAATGAATTGGGTATTACAATTTGGGGTCAATACTCTCTTTTTTATTTCTTTGAGAAATAGCAATAAAGGTGTTTATCCATATTTACATCTGTATTTAAAGATGGTGATCTCCATGTTGGATATGTACTTATCAGTGGATGAGAGCAGTGTGTATACATAAATCTACCTATGGATACAAATATGTAATTAGATTCACAAGCTGTAGGAAATGGGGAGAAGTATACAGGTTTTCAGACTTTCCAAACTGCCTAGAAAAATGGGTATTAATAGTGTTGCCTCCAGAGAGTTGGTTTTTCATCAATCACCATCTCCGTTACGAGGAAAGCCCTTTTCCCATTACTTTTCTATTTTAAATCTATTCCCCTGCCCTGGCTGATTGAACCTTTCTGAAATGTGCCAGGCAGAGAATCTCGCCTCTTCTCTCAGCTTGGAAATAATAATGTCTTCACATTTTCATGGCCTTTTCTGAAATGGGAACCTTTCATTTATGTTTCGCTCTCAATTGAAATAAATTGATTAACGTCATGGAATTGTGTTTCACCACAGACCTTTCGAAACAAAAAGCTGCTTTTCTTATGTGGTAAGGGAACAGATTGTCCTAGATTTCTTTATGCTCCAAGGACTCAGGAGCAAAGGATCTGTTTTATCGTTACATGTTATTGAATCCTAAAGAATGATCATGTTTCATTGCATCCCTTTTGCTGTGTTTTTCTCTGGAGCAGCCCCAGACCCCAGGCCCTTGGCATTTAGTAATCACAGAGCTCTCTCTGGGACCCCTCTTCCAAATCTCTCAGATTTTCCATCTCCTTATCTTTTTGCCCTATGAAAGGTTCTGTACCTTGCCTTCCACTTCTTGGTTTTTTTTTTTAGTTGTAATAATCATATTCTTAATTTCCAACGATCATCTTGCCTCTTACACTTGCATTTCCCCCCTCTCACAGCACTTGTGTTGATTAATCTCTGTTTCACCAGGTCCATTCCCCTCTCTTCCCTGCCCTGCATCCCCTGAACTTCCTTGCTGGTTTTCCCAGTGAGAGGCATCAGGACAAGTTTGGAGGATGAACTGAGAACAAAGTCAGGATATTTTTTACCTCCTCTCTTTTGCCTCTCAGCCCCATCTCTAGTTGTAGGTGCGTCCTTCTGTTACTGCAGCTCCCTCTGGGCAGCTTGGTCTCCAGGGGTAGCGCTCACTGACCTTGAGTAACACTATTCCTCCCCTGTCCCTTCAGCATTAGGGGTCGTGATGGCTCCCCTTGTTGCTAGTCTCTGGTGCCCACCATCCATCATTTGTTTTCTAACACTGTCCATGCCTTTATTCAAGACTCTTCACCTGAACCATCAGGAATGAATTCTGTTCTCTGATGGATAGACAACCTGTTCTCAGCTTATAGATGCGGACTGTTCTTGATTTCTCTGAGGATTTGAATTAGAATTTATATTTGTAAGTTCCCATTTGACTCATGACTTCTGTCTCTGTTGCCAGTTGTTCTCTCAGTGTTAATTTTTCTTAACTCTTTTTTTCTTTCAAATGAAAATCTCATTTGATTAAATAGGTAATTCATAAGGGTTTCCTCCCCTGCTGTGAACGCCGATTTCTACATCTGATGGGTCTCCCTGCCTTCAGTTCCAGTCCACTGAGCTCTCCTGGACATCATAACCAGATTAATATTCCTTGTACACCTCTCTCTGATGTCTAAACAACAAAAAATTAGATTTTTTGGTTTGGTATTGAAAATCTTTGAGCATGTGGATCTCAGCTTACCATTTTGATTCTCGTCTCAGTAGACCCTCGACCTAGATTTCCCTTCCTCACAAGCACATCTTTCTCATCCCTCTTTCTATGACTGTGCACATCTAATTTGTACTCATGTTCCTAACTAGCTTGTCATCTACCTTCTCAGCCAAGTGCAGAGATCCCTTCCTCCTTCACTCTTATTCTGACCTTTATCACTTACCTCCTTGTCTCACATATTTCACTGCATGTCTTGTCTTACCAACTAGAAGGTAAATTCTTTGGAGACTAAGATTTTTAAAAATTTTGTTTCTCGTTCAATTATTCACTCTCCACGCCTTCAAACGCTTTTGCTATTATCTCTGTTCTCGGGGCTATCAAGATGAGACAAGCAGTGTTCCCAGCTTCAAGAAGCTCACAGACAACTGGGGAGACAAGCACATAAGTAATGGGGACACAGTGTGAGAAGGGCCATGATAAGACACAGATGAGGCAGGAAGAAGGAAGGAGATCTGGGAAGGCTGGGATGTCTTCCCTGGGTTTTCTTACCCTGGCAGGTGGAAGGAATGACAGAAGATGAGCAAGGGGCACTCTATAAATATTGGTCAACTGATGGAGCTTTGTTTTTAACTTAGGAATGGGGGCATCCAAGGCTACACGTTTAAGTAAGGCCTTGGTTCCAAAGTGATCAATTGGACCATGGTGTAGCCAAAGTATGGATTGTTATCCCAGATGGACTCTTCACAATCCTGAAGTTTCCATTCCCATCTTGAGGGGTTAGGAGGGGAGTATAAGACTCACAGCACTCCACAATGCGTCCTTTTCAGCTGTGGC